CATCAGGAGTCCAGGAAAAGTAGACTGTGTCCGGTTGCAGCTTGTCCGCGACGGCACTCATGGGGGAAGGTCCACGGAAGAGGTTTCCATGGCCAGCAGGGCCTGCAATCAGTTCCGGCAAGCACAGGGTGGACACCATCAACTTGCCGGACACCACATAATCGGGGTAGCAGCCAAATTTGTCACGCACCGGAGCCACCTTGCAATTCGTGCAGGGTCATCATCCAAACCGTATCATCTTGGAAAAACACACGAAGGGTTCGATTCACATAAGCCTGGTGGGTCCCAGCAATAATGCAACTGATGCTTGAAGATATTTGAGGCTCAGGGGTAAGGGACGAAAACTAGCTTGGCAGGGAGCTTGGCATGAAAACACAAAGGGCGCAGCGCAGCTGCGCAGCTTTTTCGTCAACGTGGACGAGCGGGTCTGAAGCCGGGGCATGTTGGTAAGATGAGCATCTAGACCTACGTATTGAGGCGATGTATGTTGAAGGGGACGAGGGTGAGAACATATGATTATTATGTACTGTTGCACGAAGAGGATGAGGAAATTCAGCATAGCCAACATGATGACCAGTGATTGGGGAAGATTCAAAGGTCCACCTTCGGCATCGGAGTGGGCCTTTGGAAGCGCGGGAAAGGGCAATGCAAAAACGAAGTTGAGGATGAGAGGTAGGTGTGCATGCACAACATGAAAATGAAGCTAGGCCTAGGCCAAGATGAAGGCTACCCATGAAGGAACATGCCAATCACGAGCACCGATGCATCAATGAATTGAAGAGAAATGAGGCATGCCCTATTGACGATGCAAATCATGCAGGGGATGCCGATGCTGTCGATGTTTGCTGACGGTATCCCGCGGGGGATGGAGCCCACTGCCAAACTGCTTGTGAACCAGCCGAGGGGGGGAGGGGAGGGTAGTTAACTGAGATGTTTCTCGCGATTGGAGATTCCAGCCCCCCCAATACCTTGCTAAAGCAAGAGGGACTTCAGCTAGCAGAAGCTAGTTTTCGTGACTATATAAAGCTGATATTCCCGAATTCCCGTGTTTCGCCTTGCAAAATGGATGTTGCCACCTTGCCTATAGCCTAGGGTGCACTGACTGTAATTTTCATTGTTCTTGATGGTTGATGAAGCCCATGTATTCTCCCAGCCTCGCAGTTGTCACCGGAATAGCCGTCGATACAGGTGCAAGCCCCCCCGGAGCAGAAACCACCAAAGGGTTCATTGCAGTTCACCGTGGCGCAGGTGCCGTTCTCGCAAGAATCACCTGACAGGTTTTGGTTCTTTCTGGTTCATGATCTTTTGACGAGTCTTGATTTTAAGCACCGTGCTTGCCATTTTTCAACCATCAACATCCAATACAAGTAATTCAAAACAACCCAACAAAAACGCAAAAAATGCAATGATGGAAATCCATTGGTGCACCAAATACGGTCAATGAAGAAGTAGCCCCAGGAAAAGGACCGTATCCCCGTGAAATCCAAAATGACACGTCATGAAATAAACAGAAAGAGGTGTTGTGAGCGCTAAAAAAACGAAATTTTGGGGATATGTAGCCTTGATGCTATGGATGGTTTCATGTTTTTTTGCGCTCAAAACAGCCTGTGTGAGTAGGACGAATCATTTGATATACTAAGCAACCAATGTCTGCTGTCTGCTGTCTAACCCGAACTACAAAAATCCTCCAACCCGAACTGCGCAATCGTCTAACCCGAACTGCAAAATTGTCGTCTTCGCAGTGCTTAGTCCTGCGAAGATTCGCGGATTGACTCGTGACTTCTTCCTTTCGACTGGAGCGAACCAAAAAAAACAAAAAAACAAAAAAAACAATGTTTCCACAACTACTCTGATGTCTGGACTAGTTGCCAAATCTTTGGTTTTTTTGGTTTTTTTTTGTTTTTTTGGTTTTTTCGAAGTTTTGCATCCCAGGATTAATCCAGATTAATGATTAATCCACATCAATTCTGCTTCATCCCTTCTCTAACGCATCCCAAATAATGAACTACTTTTGCTTTTAGGAGCTCTCAGCTCCCCCCCAAACAGAAAACTAGAGGATAGGTCCTGGCATTGCTGTTATCCCTAATTGCTCTCATTCGCGTGTGTTTGGCTGTCGTTTATCCACTCATGATGCTTCTTGGCTTTCTTATGCAGAACGGCAGCCCCTGGGAGTGCAGTTTTCCCATGATTTAAGATGATATTTTGAGATGTTTTACTGCATTCCCCAAGGCACTTTGACAGCTTTGCCTGTGATTCATGCCAGTTTCCTTGAAGTACCCCACACTTGGTAAAAACCTTGGAAAAACAAAAAAAAACAATATTTCTAGACTCTTTGGAAGGGGGGGTCCCAGCCAAGACTCTCTGAATTTTTTTTCTGTTTTTTCCAAGTTTTTTGTGTTTTGGTAACTTTCAGCCATCTGCACCTTTTTGTAGACTGTGTGTTCCAATTTTGAAATGTTCGGCCATGTCTAGATAATAACCTTAGTTTCATGCTATACTTTTTTGAAAAACATGTTGTATAAATTGGTGGCACACTTTGCTGAAGTAATATGACCATCTTCTCAAGCATTATTGCATCATCGATGGAATCTGCTGTAGGCTCATGTTACACTTTCTTGGAGGGATGCTACACAGATTTGCCAAGAAACTATTCACTTTTAAAACTACATATACATACATAGACACACATGTATATATATACATACACATACATATGTGCATCTTCAAAGGAAGGCTTTCCTTGATTGACACAGATTTTGCACAGTTTGCAGTAATTTGACATTTTTTTTCGAGCAAATGCTGCACTAGTTTGAAAGAGATATTGTAGGTAGTTGTGCTACTGCACTCTTTTCATAGGCATGTAGCACTTGCTTACATTGCCATGATTATATTTGAATAAGTTTGCATTAAGATTTATAATCTATAATTACAATTTTTTGCGCATTGTTTGAAGCCATATTCTACTTTGTTCACAAAGAAAGGATATTGCACATTTTGAAGACTTTTTGAAAGTCGAGTCACATAGCACCCTTTTCAAAACAAAACAACATTTCCATAGAACAGTTGTACTCTTTGAAAGGATATGCTGCAGAAGGTGGTGCAATACTTGCTTTACAACAAAAAACACATATTTTAAACACAGGCTTTTGCATCATCAATGGAATCTAGAGTAGGCTCTTGCTACACTTCCTTACAATAATGTTGCCCACTTTGCAAACAAGAATCTGCACTTTCAAAGGTAAAACACATGTTTCAATGTGTTAGTAAGATGGCGCTCTTTTCAAAACCATGCTGTAGTAATTCAAGAATAGATTCAATCTTGCAAAACAGCATACTACATTTTTCCTACAGGAATGCTATGATTTCTGAAATCATTCAGTACATACATAGGAGGGTTCTCCTTGAAATTGGGAAGTAATGCTACACATCTTTCAAAGAATGCAACAATGCGTGCAAAAGGTTGTTGCATACATGGAGGAATGGTGTTCTTTATGCACAGTCTTTTTACAAGTGATGTTTGCATGTTTCTTTCCTTCATTATTTATAGAGAACAAATTGCATAAATTGGTGCCTGCTTAAAATGCACATTTTTTAAATGCTACTTATCTTTCAATCAATGCCACACTTTTTGCAAAGGGACTGTTACATTGAGGAATGGCGTTCTTTATGCAAAATTATTTTACAAGTGCAGTTTGCAAATTCATTTTTCCTTCATTGCCTATAGAGAACATATTGCATAAATTGGTACCTGTTTAGAATGCACATGTCCAAAAGAACTATTGCATATGTTGAGGGAAACTCCTGTAGAGATGTAGAGTCTATACATTTTTAAAGCAATGCTGCACTCTTTGGAAAGGCACTTACACTTGTTTGTTTTGTTGTTTTTATCTATTATTCATGTTTGCTTTGGCTGAAACAATGTATCTATGTAGGACATTGGGAGAGCTGTTGAGAATGCACAGTGGTTGCTTTTGTTACAGAAGCAACAATGTTTGGTTCTGGAAAGAACAGGGTTTGGTATCTTTTGCAGAAATGAAATGTCAAAAATGCAAACATTTTGGCGCTCACAACACCCCCCTCCCTAAATAAAAAGGGAAAGGGGGGCTTGGAACGTGTATGTATATATATATATACATATTTATGTATCTGTATGTGTATATTTATAATTATTTATATATTTATATTTATATTTATTTACATATATATATATAGTTACAGTTCAGGGATATGTAACACGTTATAACACGCTCGGGAATGACAATGTTGGTTTCAAAGGATGACAAATGGATGAACAAATTGACACCCACATGCGCTGGATTCCAACGTGGTACCCGCAAAAACCATGCCTTCGACGCCCAAATCGCAGGCACACTGTAGGCTGCTCTGAGGTTCTTCGGTTGGAAATTCATTCTCCCAGGGAGAAAGCCCACGAGCGCCCCACCCTCCTGACAGGGTTCCAAAGTTTTGCCAAGTTTTCCCGTGCAAAAGGCAAAAAGTAGCCACTTAGGACCTTAGGTAGCTAAAAAGTCAGCGGTCCATGTGGTGGACTGGAATATTGCAATAAAGCTAAAAGTATGGAAAAGTATGGAACACTGTCAGGAACACTGTTTTGAAGGCGCCTGAAAATGATTTGTCGTAAAAAGTGGAGCCACTGCACAAGCCTTTGCCACAGGAAAAGCCTTCACATTCCGTGCAGCCTTCCATCGACTTCTCAAATTCGATCGTCGAAAATCGCGACTGCTTTCCGCCCACAATAGACACTTCAATCATGCCGCTGCTACTGGGAATACACTTGAAATGATAGATGTCCGTATGGTGATGAGCCCACTTCGAGGTGTAATCTTTCTTTACCGTCTTCCCATTGATCCGAATGTCCCATTGGCTCCGCAAAAATGATACTTCACAGTGTAATAGCTCACAGGATCATCCGGTTGCTGAAGATTCACACGAAAGGTCTGATTTGTCCATTTGTTTTCCTTGCTATAGTGATGCAGTAGGGCTTCATAATCCTGGTCGTACTCCGGGGGCCAATTTCGGCATTGGTAGGTCCCCAGGCTCTGATTGCGCTCGGGAGATGTTAACTTGAACCGATCCTGGGGTGTCTCGCCTAGGTAACCGCCCCAGCTGTGGAAGGTGTATTTCTCCTTGGTATGGTGCCACGTGCGACCCAAAGTATCAACATAATCCGTGCTGAAGCCT